ATCAATGCAAAATTAATGAAATACACTGATTTTGTTTCGAATATTGAATTATATATATAATGTTAAATATGGTTATTCAAAGGTTGGATGTGGTAATATATCAGCCAAGCTCTTTTACAAGTAAGATTTTTAACCTTAGCCTACATAAATATTAAAGGATTTTGTTTTATTTAAAAACTGTTTTTCTTTCGTTCGAATCCTAAGTTATATGGATCTGTAATTTAGCCAAGATCTGTTGTCACTAATACTCTTTTTCATATTACTTTTATATTATTTAAGATTTGCTAATATATTTAATTCAATAATTGAACCTATCTATTTATCTATCTTGCTATGTATCTTTCGTATCTTTAAATTATAAGTTGATTATTTAAGTGAAACATATAAAGTATCTTATATGTATCTAATTTTGGGGTTTCAATCAACTAATATTTCAATAAGATAACCCAGCCCATAGCTGTATTATGCCCCTTATGAAATGTGTAACCAAATTCTTCTATCTATTTGCGATGCATCTAGCATGTGCTATATCTTAGCAAGATCGTACTATAATCAAGAACTATGGCTCAAAGGCTCGCTTGAAATATGTTCAGCAAAAATGAACTCAATGCTCTTCGCATATCTATAAAGATCCATTCCCCGTATTCTGATAATCACTTAAATATAGGCTAAAGCTTACCTTCATTTTAATTGCCTCCACAATTTTGGCGATTTTTAATCCAAGTCTTTTGCACAAAAATTATTTAGCCAGCTTTATGTTTATATTTTGTTATTTTTTTTTTTCGATCTATAAATGCAGATCGGAGCGAAAATGTTTTGACAACTTGATCAGTTGGTCAAGCGACCAACAAATGACAACAAATGCATGCGAATTGATTGAGTATATAGATGAGTGTATGAATGTGAATATATATCTATATATATATGTTTATCTGAATACTCATGTGCAAAAACCTAGGTGAATTTGCAAATAATTAACGGCAACACTTTTTTATTGATTAGCACATATGAAATTTTGAATAATTGTTCACTGGATTTAAAACTTTTGCTTTTCTCAATTTGAATTGCGATTTCCTTTTTGTTTCTTTGCTATTTTAATATTTTAGATATTTTTGTATTGTGATTTGATTTGAACGCTTTATTTTTTACCGACGCTAAAACTCGCAACGGGCCGCCTTATCAAACGGCGCGAACGCGTGGCGCGATAACAGACGCCAGTTGGGCTGCGGATTGTAAGACGGACGAACAGTACGAACTGCGGCTTTCAGTCGAGCTGTTGCTGCTTTAACTGTTGTTATTGTTGCTGTTGTTGTTGTTGTTGTTCTTGCTGTTGTTGCTGACGGACAACGACGAGCGGCTGCGGCAGCTCACGAGCGACACACGTTGTTACAGCTGCGAGGCCAGTGCATAAACTGCCGGCGCTCTAGCCTCATGGGCCATGGCTCAGCATGGATGTGACGACGACGACGACGACGACGACGACGACGGCGACGACAACGACCCGGTTTCGAGAGTGGTAGCAGCATAATGCAAACACACACACACACACACACACACACACACATGCACGCACACACCACCACCAGCAGCAGCGCAAGTCGAGCAATAAAACCCGCTCAACTGGTTTGGGTCCGCTCGTCTTGCTGCTTGTCTGTTGATTGGTTGCCATGGCGGCCGCTCAATGGGCCACGCCCATCCGCTAGCTGAGCACACGCGGAACGAGTTTCGCCCAGCGTGTCCCCCATTTTGAGTGAGATTATTGCCGCACGCACCACCAGCCGGCCAATTGAGTGCGCCGGCGCGTGCCAGCCCAAGAGAGCGCCGCCGCCGCCGCCGCAAACTGAGCCAAAACTTACGCTTGAGCCTCTTCATCTGGAGTTGAGTCTGTGCGGCTGTTGGCCATTGGGTGATGTGGGTGGATATGTTGATGCCGTCTCCGCGCTTCACTGCAGCAGCGGAAATGTAGCTAGAGCTGTAGCGGCAGCAGCGCACTTGACTTTTTTGGGGTCAAACCGCTTGACGGCATCAAAAAGTCTGCCAGTTGACAGTTTTTGCCAACATATTTTCATTTGGGCGACGCTGGCATCTCGGCATCGTGTTGAGGCAGCTCTCCAGCTATGCAATATGGGCCGGAAGTGCCCGAAGAGCAGCGAGTAGCTATTTAAATTTTAAAGATTCAACGACACACATTTCAATTCTGTTGAATTTGCGCCAAGTTGAAGCTAACTGAATGAACTAAATGCTATTGGAATAATTCTTATTGGTAAATCTTGAGCAGCAACTTGAATATCCTTTGCATAAAAATACGAGAAAGGACTTATTAAAAAAGCGTATTTCCTTTAAGCCCCAAAAAAATCACGTGCATAGATTTAAGCTTTCATTCACTTGGATTTTAACAATTGCTTCCTAATAGAGCCTCTAGAATGTGCTAATAAGATTTGCGAAAAGCCTAGACATATAAAAATAAACTTATTTTGAACTGAATTAGATTGAAATGTCACGAAAAAATAACTAAAATTAAAGGCAAAAACTTAATTTTCACCTAAGTCGGCTCGGAACCAAATCGCTTTGATGTCGAAATTCCAATTTAATTAGCCAAAACTAGCCGAACCGAAAAACGAACGAGATCAAATTAAAGTTTTGACCATGGCTTTTAAAAAAATATCCGTCATTAAAGCTTCCCTTAAGCCATCCTGATTGGGTGGAGCCGGAAAGCATAACTTACTTTGTTACCATTTTTGGTATATGAGATAATTTAGCCCGCATTTTGTAAATGAAAATATATAGTGCTTACAATATTTTCAGTACATCGGGCAATTCCAAATTAAAAACTAAATTGTTGCATTAAAATTTAAAAAATACACGAACCAAAAGCTAGCTACTCGAAAGGAATCTTTAGGTTATTCTATGGTTCAAAATTTAAGCCGCAATCATAAGTTTTCGCGCTTGCAGCCCTGGTATAAATATATGCATTAATACATAAACATATTTTACCCTATCAATACCCAACACTGACACAACTTATGTACACATGGACAGTTCGTTAAACATTCCCCACCTTATCTGTTCAACTAGCAGCGCCTCAAGCGCTCTGCCCCACACTCACTCTTTCGACCCCTCTCTATCACTCTCTCTCTCTCTCTCTCTGCCTCTCCCTCGGCACTTTGCTTTTTTCTGCCTATTGGTTTCACACTGTCCAACACTTAAAGCCGCTTCGCATTCAATTGGCATTTAGCTGCCGCCATCATCAGCCTCTGAACTCCATCAGCCTCCGCCTCCATCTCCGCTGTTGCAGCCGCGCCCCTTCGCTGCCAGCGATCAACCTTCATGTTGCGCTCACGTTATTTAAGGATTATCATCATTTTATGCTGCCTTGCAATGCCTTTTTTGCAGGATTAAATGCTGCCTGCCTGCCTGCCGTCTGTTGACAGGCTCACAGACTTCCCCCACACACACACACTTGCTTCCTCTCTCTATCTCTCTCTCTGTCTCTTTTCCTTTTGCCAGCTTTTGAATTGATTGCATTGCACTTTTTTTGTGTTGTTGTTGTTGCATAGTTGGCGCTGCCGCCCCCTGCCCTACAGCTCAGACTACAAAGTGATTTTTATGGCTTTTCGCTGCATGCGAGTATGTGTGCGTGTGTCTGTGTGTGTAGTGTATGCAAATGTTTGACTATGTGTGTGTGTGTGTGTGTGTGTGTGAGTGCACTTTGATGTCTCCGCATTACAAAGGCGGCACTTTAATGCAGCCCATATATCACGAGCGCAAAGCTTGACAGCGACGTCAGTGTAGAAAGCTTTAACACGCATACGCCCCGTGGGGCAGATACACACACACATATATACGTGTATGTGTGCACACATTTATACACATACGAGTTAGCCGCTGCGCTTATCGGGCAAGTGTCTTGGCCAACCTTTCACTGCGCCTTATCCTTTGGGCCATCTGCGCATCGCCGCACAAATAACTTCATTCGGAGCCACCAAATTGATTAACAGTAGCCCCCGCCCAGCCACTGGCCGTGTTTGGCTGTCAACGCGCTTCCCGGAATGCCTTCCATTTACATGCCATAATTTTTAAATGTCACCAGTTTACAAAAGCGTTGACCATTTGATTTTGGCCGCAATAGCAGCCGCAGTCGCAGCCGCAGCCGTCGCATCTTCTTCTGGGCCATTGTTAGGTTGGCTTGGTGAAACAGGTTGCCTAGTAGTTGGCGGCTACCTGGACGCAATCGAACCCTAAATGAACTCATCCCTTTTTCTAATACTATTTTCTTCTTCTTCTTGTTTTTCGTTTAGGCCCCTTAGACGATATCATATTTATTTGGCTCTTTATTGAGCTGCAACCTGTCGCTGCGTTTGGGTTGCGAGCTGGCAGATTTATGGGCCGCTCAGAATGTGGTCGTCTCCACTAGATGATGGCCCTGCCAAGATAGGAGCATGCGGTTCCATTCCTAGTTGCGTTTAACGAAAATTTCAGGGTAATTTGTTGTCCGAGTAGAAAAACTGTTGGTGGCATATAAGCCATATATATACATGTATATTCGGGGTTTTCCTGCTGTTCTTTGTTGTCTCTCGTTTTTTTTTTTTGTGTGGCTCACTCGCGCGTGTTATGAAGACCTCAAAGGTCCTGTGCAACTATGCCCAGGCCTTGTGGAACCTGCCCAAAATAATGCCCATAAATTCCCCTACATTGGGTCGCAACAATGTTTGCATACGCACATCTACATGTATCTTATCTTTTTTTTATATATATATATATATTTTCTATTTGCTTGAACTGTTTTTATGACCTCAATGTTAACATGTGCCCAGTGTGGACTCTATAAATGGCCGACACTCATAAGCTTGAGGGCGTCCAATGCGTTTTCATTAACAATAAATCATGCAGACAAATTGTCCTGTTTACCCAGCCATAATTTATGGTTATTGTTTAACTCTTAAGAGTTGCTATTCGAGGTGTTTAGCAAAAGTCTACCCCATATTAGTGTCTGTACTTACCTTTACTAATATCCCATTTAGAGTCTTGTCAAAATACTTGGCTCCTCGATTTCTGGCCAATAGACATTTGTTGGGTTTTGGTGACAGATTTCCGAATTTTCCTCTATATCCCGAATACATACAAATAAAATAAAATAAAAATACATAAAACAACATTTTCAAAACCAAATACATATGTTTAAATACTTTCAATGTACCAAATTTTCGAAAATATTAATTTGTAATCGAAAATTTCGGAATACAACAAAAATAAAATTAAATGTCTTTAAGCTACAATAACTTTTTCAAAACTAAACAATTAGAAAATATTTTGAATATTGGAAAATCAAGTTTTTTTTAATATATAAAAATGTTATCGAAAATTCTAATAGAAAAAATTTCTTTTTTAGTTGCTATTGAAATATTATTGGAATAAAAATGAGTGTAAATTAAATTAAGCAAATTAATTAAAATAATAAATACCTGAGTTTCTCCTTATCCTTATCCATTGTCCCAACTTTCAGCTAATTAAACTCTCTTAAGTTTTGTTGTTTTTTTTTTTTTGTTTTGTTTTGTTTTTGCCTTATACATTATGTATATATATATTTGTAATAACTCTCTAGTGTATATATATAAATTAAAATAAATAAATACATTTTATTTATTTTGTTTTATCATCATAATTATCATTATCGTAATGCTCGTCGGTAAAAACTCCGTTTGTCTTTATCTCATTTTATCAATATTACGAGTACTTTGCGTGCGATTTGTTGTTCGAATTTTGTTCTTTTGTTTTTTTTTTCTTTTTGTCGCATTTTTTGTTGTAAAATTATAATTACGATGCGTTTTACCATTAGATTAATCATGATGTAATAATAATATTGTATAACATATTCCCCTCGAGGGTTCTCATATCATTTTATTTTGTGTGTGTTTTTTTTTTTTCTGTTATTTTTTATTTCTCTGTTTTATTTCCCATATTCTATGCCCAATCTTGTATCTGGTTATTCCCGCGCTCTCAGCTCTCTCCACTCAACTCTCGCGCTCTCGTAGACCTTCTCTAACTCTCCCTCTCCCTCTCTTGGTATAACGACAACCTCAACTTTACGCTCAACATTATTTTTGTTTTTGTTTCTTTTCATAACAAATAGAGCAACTAACAAAGAAATGCACAACAGGAGCAAAATGTTCCGTTTCCTCAGGATCCTCAGGACCATCCGATACCCTTCCATACACTGGCCAACTGTATCTCTCCGTCTCTGTCTAACTGTCTGGTTACGGGACTTGCCAACAAAGCGTTTTCTGTGTTCTGTGGTACAATACGTTTTGTGCTTATTATTCAATATTATATTTTTTTTCCTCTCATCGTTTTTTGTTTTTCATTTCTTTTTTTTTTTTTCTTTCTGTTTCTTGAGCAGTTTTCACTAACTTACATATTTTTTGGTACGTTTTAGTTAAATCATTATATCGTATTGCCTTTAGATATAGTACTATATGGTATGTATATGCTATGGTTATGTAAGCATTTATTTGTTTGTTTAGCGCACTTTCTGAAAGCTATTCCTTAGGTTTAGGTGTATGCGTGTGGTGTGCGTGTGTGTGTGTGTGTGTGTGTGTGTTCATAAGATTTGCAATGCTCGAAATGATAACTAACTGTGATAACTCTTTTAAATATGTGTTCTGCTTCTTTTACAATATATATGCTAGAAATATCTGGGCATATACATATTTCCGGCATATGCTTTCAATATCCGTTACAGCTGCTTAGTCCTTGCGTCCTGTCCTAAGCTACTTATATGCTAGAAGTTTAGTCGCGCTTTTAGGTTTGCATTTGTAAATTATTGTTATGTACATTTAGACATATAGTTTTTTAAAGTTGAGTTTAAGTTTGCCAATAGTCTGTTTAGATCTTTCTTTCTTTTTAATTTATGTTTCGTTGTACAAAGGCAGGAGAGATAAGTAAAAATCCAGAACGTAACTAAGAAAAATAGAAAATTCATGTGTGAAATGGAAAATGGAACATAAATATAAACAAAAATTATAGCAAACGCAACTTAAACTAAAAAATTTATTTTTTGTTTTTTTTTTTTTTTTTATTTAGTTTTTCTGGTTTCAGTTGCCTATATATATTAAATGGTACATATACATATGTAATTTATACGCTAAGCTAATTATTTTGTTTAACAATAAATGTATAGCTGCTTGGCTCTTACGTACCGCAATTTCTTTCTCATTTCTCATTTCTGATTTTATGTTTATATTTTTATATTTCAATATTACTCCACTTATGATTAATAACGAAAATTAATGTGTGTGTGTGTGTGTGTGTTTGCAGCTTCTTTGCCGTAAGGAACAGAAATTATAAAGAAAACATAAAGAATTCAATTCTAAACATAATAAGGAAATTCAAATTTAAAAGATTTCACAAAATTTATCATCATATAATTGGTAATAGGCAAATATATATACGCATATATATATTTATTTAATTTGACTCAATAACAAAATTATTGATTGATTTTGAAACAGAATTGATGTTGATTTTTTTTCGAGAGCTTTTGTTCATATTTTCATTTTTCATGTGAGATTAACTCGAAGAGCTTTACAAATTACAAATTTTGCCATACAAAATAGATGTATATATATAGTACTAGCCACGCCCACAGTAAAATAGTGGCAGCAGTCTCGTTTCGAGCCAAGTGTAGGGTGTCTGTGCTGTCGGTCATTTCAGTTGGAGTTTTGCTTTACTTTTGGTTGAGATTTCTAACATAATTAAAACGCATTCAATTAAACACACCAAAGCAAAATGACAAATATTTCAATTATAATACATATTATTATGATATTTTACGATAACACCGTTGGGGGACATTCAAACGGAAGCTACTGTACGTGTGAGGTTTGCCTGTACGATCGGACACGACTGTCAGTCTTTAAGCGTAACGGTCAACTGGCTATGCTGCATTTGCCAGCACTAAAGCAACATATAACGGTTTATTCTCTAGCTTAGTATAGTTCCTTATTCGTCCGTCAGGAGCGCAGTCCGGGTTGGTTGTTCCGTTCCAGTTTGCCGTCCGTGGGGCCGTCGTTGTGTTCAATTATTGCTTCTTCGGTACTCGATTTTCTTTTTTCATATGTATATATATATATATATATATATTTTTAAAGACTATTTTTTAATGGCACAAAATATACAGCATTTTTTCTTGTTGTAGTTGTTCTTGTTGTGTTTTTTTTTCTTTCTTTTACTGTTTGTTTTTGTTTCTCTACTCGAGCTAGTTTGCTAAGTTTTAATTTTTTTGCCGGCTGATTTTTTGCTGTTGTTGCTTTTTTTTTTTTAGTTGTTTGCGGAAGATTTTAACAATTGTTTTACACTTTGTTGCATTAACGCGCCTGGTTCAGCTTGCAGTCCCGTTAGCTGCTAAACAGCAACCCCCTCATCTCCCGCCCCCCTCCCCCTCACGCCTACCACCATAGTCTGCTCTGCTGCTACTATCCAACTCGACGCGGCCTTTTGCTCCTATGCTCTGTACTCGCCCTCTGTTACATGAACTACTTCCTACTTCCTACTTTCTTCATTCTTCACTCTTTCACTTTTATCTGTTTCCTCTTCATCTTCTTCTTGCTTTCTTTTGTTTTTGTCAACTACATTATGTTCCACTAGATTAGGTTGCTATTTATATTTATCTTAGGTATGCCGTTATGTTTATGTAGTTCTTTTTTTTCGTTTGTTTTTTTTTTTTTTTTTTGTTTCTTTTGTTTTTTGTGTGAATTTTAAGGTGCGCGAGTCCGCCAGTTGTTCAATGGGCGGCAGATTTACCGCGGACGCGAACCTTTGTAGTTCGGATTCGGATGACGACTTGGATGACGTGGAGGTGCTGTAAAGGATGCGAGAAAATTGATTAGAATGCCGCACTTGATTCTTAAAAGGTACATATACTATTTCTAGTTGTTAGTTAGAATAGAAATAAGCATTTTACGGTACAGTTGCGACATTTAAACCTTGTCCTGTTCTGTAAGCTTTAATTTAAGATAAAAGAGTGTGTCCACACTTTTTTTTTGTCAATTATTTCTATTTGCAAAATTCGTTTAGCAGAGATTTGTTTATATGGATCGAGGCAGTCCTTTTGCTAAAAATGGTTTGGTCTAAAGTTGCTTACAACCATTTATCACCCATTTTTCACACATTCCAGTGAAATGTTCTAAACATCCCACACATGAGTTACACTGCGGTCCCGTCTGCTGTGCGCCAATTATTATTATTTTTTTTTTCCGATTGGGTTTCTTCTCTCACCTTGTATCATCATTGTGGCGGGATACATGCCGGCAACCTGTGCCATTTGCGGTCGGATATCGCTCGAGGGCGAGCGTCGACTATTGGGCAAGGCCACCGACGGCTGAAAAAAGAGAAAGTACTATTAATAAACACACATTTTCCGTAGAATATCAAATAAAGCCCTGCATCGAATCAACAAAAACATCATTCGTATACTCCATACGCTTTCGACTCGAGCTTTTCGAGTTGCAGGCAAATGAGTCCTTCAAACATTCAGTTCCATCGAATCTCAAAGCCAATCAAACTTAGCTTTTGGTTTGATTGTACATGTTAGCTCGAACATGTTGCCGGTCGATGTTCGATTTGATCCGGATCGAACTTCGTTAGGATGAAGGGTCTTCGGTTTTGGCGATTCGAACCCTGCTTAGCTCGACGGTCGAAAGTTAGAGTCTTAGTTCGATTGAGTATTCGAGTTCGATGCAAATGAATCCGAAACGATGCAGGGCTTTAGTTTCAGACTCTACTCACGTGCGCAAAGTACGTCTGGCCGTACTTGATGTAGACACCGGACGCGCCATTGGGATTGTAGCCGCCGAGTGCAGCCGCTGCAACGCCAACGCCGCTGAGCACCGCTGTGGCCTGTTGGCCGGCTGCGGCTGCTGCCGCCGCCGCTGCTGCTGCTGCTCCGGCGCTGTGATGCAGCTGGGCTGGAATGTGCGATGTACGCGGTCCGGCACCGCTGCCGCCAGCATTGCCGCCGCCGCCGCCGCCGCCGCCACCACTCAGATAAATGGATGGCGGCGAGGCGTTCATAGCGGCACCAGTCGAATGATCCACCACAATATACTGTGTGCCCAGGCTGCCGGTGGGCGGTGCATTGGGTGCATTGGGCGTGTTGGCGGCGCTGTTGTTGTTGCTCCCGGCACCGCCGCCGCCGCCCGCAATACTGTTGGGCGAGTTGTTGCTGCTCTCGTGGCTGTTGTTGCCGCCGTTGCCACCAGCTCCGTTGGCGCTGGGCGAGTTGCGCTGCGAGACGCTACGTCGAAAGTCCGCATTTATCGACTTCTGGCTGCGAAAACTGGCGGCGCCCGCATTCAGACGCATCGGAGGCTTGGCCTCGTAGCCACCACCGCCGCCGCCGCCGCCGCCGCCACCAGCTGGACTGCTCGATGTGGCATAGCTGGGCGGCGGTCCGCTGATTAATGGCATCTGTGTGGGCTTATTGTCGCGCTTGCCCAGCGCATGCGGCGGCCCGCGGTGCGCGGCATGATGATAGCTTGTCGAGGTCGACGGTCCGCCTCCCAGGC